GTGGGGCGACGTATGCTCATCCGGCAAAACAGTCAATTAACTGGCAGTTGACTTCTCACTTCAAACTACCATCACCTCACTGTATGTCATATTCCACCACTTCCACAGTTCTCACCTCACCTTTTTTCTACCACTGTGTCTGCCTCTTTTACATCTTTGAAACACTCTTCAATCCCCCCCCCCTATCGACTTTTCCAATTTGATGTTCCTTCCCTTCTGTGAAGCCTGAAGTCAACTAAAGGGCTAATGATAACCATCAAGACGCCTGCCATTTTATATTAAAAAATAAATAAATATTGCTGATGCTGGCTAACTAATTTCGAAGTCAATTTCATGCTAGGCGATGATTCATATGCTGGAAACAGTGATTAATGTTGTTTAAACCACAATCCTCTCATCTTTGCATATTTAGTGGCTCCTCCAAACATTTTTCCCTTTTGTAGGTAATGATGCCTTTTCGCTGCCTGCAAAGTTTGTTAAAAAGTTCTACATTTCCCTCCGTACTGCGAGATTCATGGAGGTTCAACGCTACCCACTCCATACACTGTTTCACTGGACAATCAGAGACAGGGGGAGAGGTCAGGTGGTGGGATTTGAAGTAGAGAGTTAGTGAAGTAACAGGAAGGTCTATACATCTATATATATATATATATATATTTATTTATATATTTATATATGTTGTGTGTGTTCGTCATCGTAAGTTAAAAGTAAATGCTTCATTTTCCCATAATTCTCTCGATTATTATCGCCTACATGGTTAAAATCTCATTCCCTCAGAGAGATGGTAAGCCAAAGTTCAGAAGAGTATCGCATTTCCGTCTCAATCTCTATTTGGTTCTTTTGCATTTACAGGTTACAGGGTGGAAATAACAGCTCCAATAACTATCCAGTGGGATTCCGTAAATCTCCTATCCCGTGGTGTTAAGAATGTTAGTTGTTCTGCCACAAAGAGAGCTCAGAATGTTGAATTATTTGCAAGATATCCTGTCCATTTTTCGACCAGATATACAATCTTTCAGTCACAGAAATTGAAAGCGAGAATAAGACTATCCATTTGGGTGAATATCTTACATGTCTCTTCGGATATGCTCAATTCATTAATACTAATTTCCCCATGTTTCCTCTCAGGTCTAAGGCTATATGGCACTAGTGGAGTTCCCATATTAAGTGATAAAATTAAATTAAGTTGGTGGGAGTCATGGATTGACGATTGGATTCTTCATCAAATGAATTTATCCTGCCGTAGAACTGGAGACAATGCCACGATTTTTACTCAAGTGTTGGAAAATACTACAACAAAGTGCACTGTGGAGAATTTGGAAGACGACACAGACTACACGTGCACTATCGTTACTACCATTAGTCATAATGGCTACCCCAATATCCAAACTGCAAAATAACTAGTGAATTCCATTCTGTCAGAACAAAAAGAAAAGGTACAATTCTCTCTCTCTCTCTCTTACTCTCTCTTAACTTCCAAGTGCCATGTCTACTCTGATCTCATTTTTTTAGCAATGAGGACACCGAAATCTTGTGTAGTTAAAACGATTGACTCCTCTTCTATTCAACTCACAGTTGGTGAACCGGGGGAAGTAGATGGAGATTTCGGAGGTTACGAGGCTTCCATGAGCATTTCAGGAGAAAACAATTGGACAAATGCATTACAACTTCCACCTGCCCAACACTCGCACACTTTTTCAGGACTAGATAAAGGAAGAACCTATGACTTTCGTGTGCGAGGTCTAGTTCTATCTAACGGATATAGCGGTTACCGCATGGCGACTGGTGCAGTTGGAGGACAAACAGGTTCTCGATTTTCAGATAATTTTTGACTCCTAAAGTTTTATGAAGGAGACTTGGTGACTCTGATCTTTCAGAGTAAATAAGGCAATCTGCGTCCCAATAAATTGAGGAGACTGACTAATTAATTAAGGTATCGATTGACCTCAATCAATAGTTATTGTAAATTGGAACCAAAGAGACAGATATCCATGTTCCTCTCCTCCACCCCCTCCCTCCCTCCCTCCTCCCCCCTCCTCCCACCACTCCTCTCCCTTCTAGTTCCACTTTCACCTTTTTTTCAACATCGAATGAATAGTATTTAAATGGAGTGTAAAAGTGAAACACTGCACGAATTACTACTTATGATTAGTTATTAATAACAATAATATCAATATTTCTGAATCCAATTTTTCAATTTATCTTAAGGCACCTCGTCGACTTCAAATGGTCCAATGCTCCTCTCCTCAATGTACGGATGTCTTCTGCTTCTCGGTCTAGTTTTGATGTTTTAAATCGAAGAGAATTGAGAGTTTCAATCTTCTCGTTTAACTTTACTGACTTTTACCTACGTTTTCATTTAATTATTTTGCAATGAGTTTATTCCTGTTTAAACAATAAAATATTTCGTATCACAGATCACATGTATCCTGTCTATATTTATCTTCAGCAACAATTTCTGAGCTAATCGTTTAAAACACTGTCCTCAAAAGTTATTAATTTATTTATTGGGTTGGCAACTAAGTCATTGCCGTTTTTGTTGACAGATTCGCTCTATAATTTCTTTTGTTTTGTTAAAATGGCCAGAGCATCTAACCTATATTTTTTTCTTACTGTAT